ATTTAAACCTGACAAGCACGTGTTCGCTTACGTTGCAAACTACCAATAACGGACAACCGCTCCCTGATTTCCGCCACGTGTCCTCTGTACTCGACTAGTTCTTATCTTGACGTGGCTTCATCCAATTGCTCACCATACATACAACTTTTAGGCCTGATCTATCCTTCTCCTCAACCTAAAATATCTTCCAACTTTCAACCTATCCAACATTAACTATTAGTAATGGAAATGTATAAAACATATAATTAAAGTATATAAATTAATTTAATTGTAATATAAAATTATATATTAATATGATATAAATATTAAAATGCAACAATAATTCACATAAGATATATCATAATTGATATCAACTATTACATAATATATATCATAGGTTCAAATCCCACCGCCTTGAAACGAAAGAGAAAAATAAATTATGTGCGACGAAAGAAAATGATATTTTATGTAAGTTAAAAGGAATATATTATATAAATATATATATATATATATAATTTTGTTAATAATATTTAAGGAGAATAGTCCATTTAAACACACTAAATAAACAAATTATATATTTACTAAATTTAGTTAGCTAAGGGATGATCTGGTAGCTTAGTGTGAACTCGTGACCGTAAAGTCATATGTTCAAACTTCCGACCAAAAGTAACGATTGCGAGTTTCCACGTCATAAAGAAAAATATAACTAAATAACCACTCACTCCGTCCCATTTACTGTGTCTATATTTCTATTTCAGTCATTCCCACTTATTTTTGTCAGTTTTTTCTTTTAGAAAAAAATTATACACTAATTCTTAATCTTTTAACTTTAATTATACTAATTAATTATCTTAATCTTAATATAAAATTATTTTTATTATACGATAATTATTTTCACTAATATATTTTTAATTATTTATTAATTATGTCTACAGTAAATGAGACACATAGCTAGGAGGGGCAGATGAAGTATTATAACACTTGAAAATAGTACAATTAATGTAGTGCCTTTTTGATATTTTTGTCTTTAAAAATACAAGTAAAATATTTTTGTAAAAATTAAATGTATTTTATTATTTAGATATTATTACTTTTTCTATAATTAAAAAATACTACTTTTAATTGTAATGGACGAAATATATAAAATAATATATTCAATTGAAACATATGAAGCATTTTTTTTTTTCATATTTTAAATTTATATTCACTTTTATTTTTATATGTCATAAAAATATTTTTACTTATCTTTTCAGTGAAAAATTATTATTTTATATATTTTTTAAAGAATAAAAACATGCATTTATATTAACAAGATATTTGGAAATTAATTTATTCATCAATTTTGGTTTTTCGATCAATTAAATACTGTATTTGGTAATTTTGTTTTCTTAAAAGAATTTATTAATCTAAAAACTTAATTTATAAAAATTTATATATTCCAACATTTTTCATTAGCATTTTATTTTATTTTATTTTATTTTCATAATTATCCTTGAACACAACTCTCTTATATACATAATATATATATATATATATATACTCCATCCAACTAATTTTAGTCTATTTTTTAGAAAATGAAATGTGATTAAAATAGATGGATGGAAGAAATATATATATTTATTATATTATTTATTATTTATTTTAATAAGTTACGAATTTATTTTTATAAATTTAAATTGATTTAAATTATTATTTTTGTATATGTGATTGTTTTATTTTTTTAAAATAAATATTTTAATATCTTTTTCATAATTCTCAATAAAAAAATCTTCCAAGGTAAAATAGTAATGAATATTTTAAAAATAAAATATAAAAATATTTTTATTTTTCTTTACGTTTAAGTAACTAATATCAATAATTGATTTATCTAATATTATAGCACAAATAATTAATATATTTAATTAGTTAAATAAGTTAATAACAAATTGTTAAATATATTCATAAAAATGTGCAAAAAAATTGCATTTATTGGAACAATAGAGGAGTACAATTATTTTCTCTTAAAAATACTTCATCTAGTAAACCAATCAATTAAATTCATAATAAAATAAAAAAGAAGGGGTGTATTTGTTTGGGGTTTGAATTTTTAATATTAATATTTTAAATTGGAACAAGTGTACGACGTGATATAAATGTGTTTATATAATATTTTAAATGTAAAAATAAGTTTTAATATAACAAAAAATAAAAAATATATATTTGATTTGATATTTTTTAAAAACAAAAATAGTGAAAAATAAGATTTTGTAAAGTTTGATGAAAGAATATACTATTTTATACTCCTTTTGTTTATCAAGTGCTTATTTGAGTTTGACAAAAAATTTAATTAATATTAGTATATTATTATACTGGTTGATTTTGCTATAAAGTTGAAGTATTTTAGGATATATATGTAGTTAATAAAATGAAAAAAATTGTTAAATTAAATGTGTAAATAGTTTTGATATCTTTATAAATAAGTGTAATATTAAGAATTATGAATTAAAAAGAAGAAGGCATGTTATTGTCAAAAATATTCATGCTCTTTTCCCGAAAAAAATAATTACGCATTAATTATATTTATATTATCTACATTTTCCTACACTCCACATAAAGTTTTTTTCTTCAAACCAAAAAAAAAGTTACAAAAATATATATATTGCTTTTGAAAAAAAAATTAATAAATATAAATTTGGTGGATATAAAAGTAGTAATTTTAAAAAAAAAATTCTAAAAAAAAAATTATGGCATAGTCAACAATGGTACTAAATTCAACAGGGGCCCTACTCAACCGTTGGGTATGAAACGGAAGGAGAAACAACCAACCACTCCTGAACATTCGCAATCATACCGGTCTCCCCTTGCGCAATCAAGCCATAACCTCTCATGTGGGGGGGGGGGGGGGGGGGGGGGGGGGGGGATGGGTGGAATTGGTGGATGGCTTTTCTTATATGCTAAGGATTAATTCGGACACTTTATCCTTTGGAACTTGACCACATCATTATCCTTCTTATTATTATTATTATTATTATTATTATTATTATTATTATTATTTAATTTTTTTTTCTTTGTTGAAATTTCCGAAAGCCATGAAGATCAAAGGAATATACTTTCCTTCAAACTTTGCCCAACCCTAGCTCATTCAATTTTTTTTTTTTATTTATTTATTTTTTTATGATATTGATCGTATTCAATGTGTAAATCTAGAATGTCACATTTGATAAGTATTTTGCAAGAAAAATTGAAATATTTTTATACAAGAACTGAAATAAATAGAAAGTTCTACTATTTAAATTTTCTCTTACAATTTAACAAAGATCAGGTATAATCATTCAATTTATATTTTCTGTAAATATTCAAACAATTTCGAAGCATATAGTTTATTGCTTCTTGATTGCATTTGTTTCTGGACGTTGCAAAATCAATTAACCCCTACAAGGAGTACTTGATAAGAAATAGAAGACCAAATGTTATTTCCTAAAGCCATTTACGTGGGGTTATGGAATGACCGTGATTAACTGTTCTTTTTTTAGCTCCTTTTTTGCTAGAATCTTTGGATGCACTCCATAAGTATCTCAATTCATGTTACCGACAACTTTAGTAAAGCAACAATAGTTTTTGGGCAAGCCACTCCTCTCAGTCGAATGTGCCTTATTTTAAGGTTGAGCTAGTATATATATATATATATATATATACATATATTAATTGCTCCAATAAATACAGAAAACTAACCCAATCTAACAAACAAGAGCGAAATGAGATATGTACTTGCATTGCATGGAAGAACGAAAAATGTATGTACAGCAAGCAAGCAAGCAGGTAAGGGAAGGAAAGGGAAGGGAATAATTAATGAGGTAGCCAGGCCTTAATCTGTGGCTCTTTTATTAGTTCTTTCTTAGATTCAGTTAGTCAAACATCCCGCTAAAGCCTCAATCAATAGAATGTGTATGGATGGTGTACCTGGCTAGATGGGCGGGCGTCGAGCCCTTGTTGGTTGCTTGGTGTTCTACATTAGGGTGTGTTTGTTTGGGGTTTGGATTTTAAGTGGGGATTTGAATAGTAAAAATTTTGAATTTGAATAGTTGTATGATGTGATATAAATAGGTGTTGATGTTATGTTTTGAATGTAAAATTAATTTTTAGTATAATATAAAAAATAAAAAATAAGTGCTCGATTTGATATTTTTGGAGGAAAAAAATGGGATGAATAGTAGAATTAAAATCCAATGCCCCGAACAAACACACAGATGGTTAAGTTCGTTGTTTATAATTTTGAAAGCCAAATCTTTGTAGATCACATGGTTTGAAGGTATGAAATATATGTATGTGTGAGTGGATAGTTTTTTTTTTAAAAAAATGAAACTCCCAAGATTTATGGGCAACAGTGGGCAGTGGTGGATCTGGTCATCTTGGACTCCAACACTAATAGTACTAAATTTTAATCAGCGCAGCTTGGTTAAAATTATTATTAGATAAAAAATTTTAAAAAATATATTTTATTTGCAAAATTTTCTATTATTATTATTATTTTTTAATTTGAAACATCGTTTTCGGATAATCTGGTAAAACAATACTTTTATTAATACTTAATAAAAATTGAAATCATAACAAAATGTTTAAATTGCATATTACTTTGTATATTAATAAAACTAGTTATGACTTATTACCAAATCTATAGATTTGTAAAAGCAAAATAAAAAATAATAAAAATGTTTTTTTTAGCAATTTACAAATCAACAGAGTTTTTTTTTTTTTTGCCTTGATATTAATTATTTTTTAGGATTTAAATTTAAATTTATTTTTCTATTGTCATTTAAATTTAAATTTATTTATTTTTGAGAAAAAAATATTATTTTTTACTTTTTTTTTATATAAATTTTGTTTAATTTTATTTTATTTTTTAATTTGTATTGGATCAAATGGAGCGTACTACTATTTTTTTATTTTTTATGGAAGGGAGTATTATTGTAACTTGGTTCTTGGAAAGAGTGTGGGGTTTTAACCTTTATTATGGTTTTTTCCTTCTCTTCCTCAAACTCCTCCTCTGACTCTCCTGCCTATTTATAAAGCCGCCACTGGTCTTTCTCTACTCATAATCCAATTCCTTCTCGTCCTCCCCCGCCCTACGCTGATCCTCTCTACTGCATATTGAGTTGTCCATTCTTCCCTATTTTCTCTAAATTATCCCTGTCCTACGTTTTGGGAATCTATCGGATTTTCACGATAACACTTTCTGATAGATTGATTCTCTCTGTGCATGATTCACTCGCAAAAAATGAAGTATGTATTGGTGACTGGAGGAGTAGTGAGCGGTCTGGGTAAAGGGGTCACCGCCAGCAGTATTGGTCTTATCCTCAAGGCCTCCGGACTTCGGGTTACTTCCATCAAGATCGGTTGGCTATATCTTCCAACTTCCCTCCCCCCCCCCCCATTTATCAATTCACAACACACAAACACTGGTTCTTCTTCTCATACTTATAACTGCCAGAGAAGTGAAGAAACAAACAGCTAAAAATGTTATTTTGTTATATTCATTCCTTGGGTTCTTTCTAATTAGCCTTTGTCGAAAAAGAAGGGAAACGAAAGCAGCAACGGGTTTCATGGCCTCCACAGGCCATTTTATCAATCTTTTGGTGTTCAAAATCTAAACTTCAACAGTACGGTCGACTAATCGAACGACATTCTCCTGTCTTTCTCATTTTGAGTTTCATGGGAGAAATCAATTAACTCGGGTCCTTTTTCGTAACTCAAAATTCTTTCTTGTACTTGTTTAGCACCAGTATCGAAGTTCCTCCACATTTCATTCTTTTAGGTTTCTGTTCTTCTTGTTATCTCCATTGTCTACTGTTCTCTTCATTGCTTTCTGGCGATGTGTTGTCTCGATTTGTCCCCGTACAGACTCGATTTTTTTCTTTCAAAGAAGGAACTGATCATTGTTATTGTATGTATTCTTTTTATGTTCAGATCCTTACTTGAACACTGATGCTGGAACGATGTCTCCCTTCGAACACGGAGAAGTGTTCGTTCTAGACGATGGTGGAGAGGTTAGAGAGTCTCATATACTTGAAATTTGTCAGCATGCTTAACATTGTGTATTAGACCAAACTGGTTGTGGGCAATGGTCCCGACGTATTCGTTTTTCTGAACCTTGGTTGATGATATCATGGATGCGTATTGAACACGAAATGCTCTTATTCTTTTTCTTGGTTATTCTCGTGTTAGCGTCAAATGGAGATTTGAAAATGTCTATATGATTCGATGCTGATAGCTTTTGAAATTCTTCGGCATTATTTGTTCTTGTTGGATGTATTTATGCATCCGAAGCTTCTTGGGATTTCTGTTATTGGTGGTGGAACATTTGATTTTTCCCCATGACATAAAATCACTTAAATGTGTGTGTTTTCTTTTTCTTCTTATTCTTTAAAGGCGGATCTGGATCTCGGAAACTATGAGCGATTTCTGGATATAAAATTGACACGGGATAATAACATAACTACTGGAAAAATTTATCAGGCAAGTGTGGTTGTGTTTTTAAATTGCTTTAGAATATCATTACCATCTTAGCCAGACATAACTTGATTAGATGCTTGCGAGGAATTCAGTCTGTTATTGACAAGGAGAGGAAGGGAGATTATTTGGGACAAACAGTGCAGGTGTGTTACTCTGACTTATCCCGATCCTTTGTTTTAGCATCCATGATATTTCACAATTCCAATTTGTACTTCACGTATTCAGGTTGTACCTCATATAACTGATGCCATTCAAGAATGGATTGAGCATGCTGCTGCGATACCAGTGGATGGGAAAGAGGGTCCTGCTGATATTTGTGTCATAGAATTGGGAGGAACTATTGGTGAACTGGCACTTCTGTTAATTTATTTAGCCTAACGATATAGCAGATTTGGTTGATGGAAGTTTATTTATTGATGCAGGAGATATTGAATCAATGCCCTTTATTGAGGCTCTCGGGCAATTTTCGTATCGTGTAGGTATGCTGTATCTGTCTTTTTCATGCTCGCTGAAATATGCACTAAACAAAGAACTGCTTATGAACTTTTTGTAAAAAATAAACCTTAGTTTGTTATAGCAGCTAAGCCCTATATCTTCTCAGGCCCAGGAAATTTTTGCCTGATCCATGTCAGTTTGGTGCCTGTTCTAGCTGCTGTTGGAGAGCAGGTAACCTGTTTTCTGGAAATATTGCAGCATTGTTTAATTATAAATTTTGTGAGACGTGAATCTGTCATCACTTTGAATATTGCAGAAAACAAAGCCAACTCAACATAGCGTTAGGGGATTGAGAAGCTTGGGACTATCTCCGAATATTTTAGCATGCCGGAGCACAATGGTCTCTCTCTCTCTCTCTCTCTCTCTCTCTCTCTCTCTCTCTCTGTGTCTATATCTGTGTGTGTGTAATTAGCTCAACTGAGCCTAAACAAGCTTTAGAAGTGCTTGCACAAGCTATGTCTAGTTTAGTGAATTGATTATCTATTCGAGCGGGAAGAATCCTTCACATTTATTTCCCATCATAGGCTGTTGAACCCTGTTAAAATTGCAGTTCATTCTGCAGGAACTTGATGGAAATGTTAAAGAAAAGCTTTCCCGTTTTTGCCATGTTCCGGTATCACATCTAGTAGCACATTGCAATATCTTCTGTATTTCAACTGATCCAGGTGCCTGCTTCATATGTTCATTCATGGATAATTTTCATGTCTCCCAGATAGAGAATATTATAACGCTTTGTGATGTTTCCAACATATGGCGTGTACCTTTACTTTTGCGAGTAAGTAGTAATACACCTTCGCTTGATGGTGACTTCACTTTTTGCTTCAGTAGAAAGCAAACATCTCATCTTTTATATATGCATGCAGGACCAGAATGCTCATGAGGCAATTTTGAAGGTCCTGAACCTCACTGGGTTTGTCAAGCAACTGTTGCGCTTCCAATATAGTTTCATTTAAATTAGAATTAGAATTTTCATGTTCTTTATTCCCTCTTTCAACGAAATCTTGTCTTCATTTGAAATCAATATTTGATTATATTATTTGTAGTTATATAAGGGAACCTGTACTTGGTGAATGGACTTCTAGAGCAGATCTCTGCGATCTTCTCAGTGAACCCGTAGGTTCTTTTTACTTTTCCTTTTTTCTTCTTTAATGAAATTGAATTTATATCTCTTGTGCGATGTTGAGACTTTTCGTCTTACCACAGGTTAGAATTGCCATGGTTGGAAAGTACACTGGCCTTGCAGATTCTTATTTGTCTGTGTTAAAAGTGAGCTAATTTCATTCATATTCTGTTCAGTTTTGAAATGAGTGGTTCATATATATGCTGGACACATCTATAATACTGCTTGTTTGGTGTCCTATCCTGCTTAATGAAGCTGTTATGAAAATGCATAATTTTAAAAAAGTGGAAAATTGTATATTTTACAATAATTGAGGCCAGCAGATTCTTGAAAAATATTCAAAAGGTTCTCAGGAAGTTAAAAACATCTTTGAATTCCCACGTATCATCATTTTCAAATCACTGCAATATTGAAATACCAACCTTATACATTGGAGAGTGGACATATTTTCCAGATCTTACGAGAAAACTGATTTGTGTAGTGTGCATGGTCTCTCATCCACTCCTAGCTAGTTCTTTTGCATCTCATTGAGGCCCTAAGGAATTGCTTATCATCTATGTTTTTTTTCAAATATGTGTCACTTTGATGCTGATTGCCTCTCATGCTTTACTCGATGATTAGACTACCTTGTCCAGAATCAGGTGATCAGTGAAGTTCCACGGGATACTAGATCCATTCTTAGAATATACTTATCTAACAACCTACGTGAGTATAGTAAGTATATCTGCTCTTGCTATCTAATTCTGATAGGAACATAAAACTTAACATGGTAAATAATATGAGGAGTTTGTCAGCTGTGTTTTGGAACACTTGTTGGTCTATAATTTTTTAAAAAATGAGAAAGTGAGGGAATTCAGTTGACCCATTTGAATGGCTACCTATATCATATTGCAGGCTCTTTTGCACGCTTCTGTTGAGTGTCATCGAAAATTATGTGTAGACTGGGTTCCTGCTACTGATCTTGAAGATGCAACTGCGGAAGAGGTTAGTTTCTTGATATAATTATCTATCAAACACCTTGTAGATTATCATCTCACATCCTCGGCTGATGATACGTGCAGAATCCCAACTCTCATAGAAGTGCTTGGAAGTTGCTGGAGGTTTGCATACCTTACTTTTTTCATGGTTTTGGGACTATTGTTTTAGGTTTTGGAGGAAAGGGAAAAAGGGTATACAGACCTCAAAGAGAGAGTTCTAGTTTGTGTTATAGAATCCACGCCTTTTATTTCAGTAGATCCGGTCTTATTCCAATTCTAGCTTCATTAGTTTTGGCTCTTCAGGTTTCTGTATTTATACTCTCATAAAAAAACAAAATTGAACTTTAGAGTAATGCAGAGATACGGTTAGATGTAGAGAAAATCCATACATGAAAAAATAAGAAGATAAATAATTTTTTTATAATATGCTTGGTTGAATAATTGAGGAATAACTTATACAAAGCATATTTACATTATATTATTAATTTTGTGAATAAGATTTTAAAGTATACATATTTTAAAGTTGATCAAGCATGTGATTTGGTGGTACATGTCCTATTACATGAGGACCGATCTGCAGTTTTAGTTCCAGTTCTAGCTTTAAGACAAACTATTCTGCACTGGTTCTTGGTTGCATGTAGAACTATGGCCCTCTCTATGTTAGTCCTTCTTTGGCTCATCTTAAAGATTCTTTGTTTCTAGGGAGCAGATGCCATACTAGTTCCTGGAGGTTTTGGTGACAGAGGAATAGAGGGTAAGATTCTGGCTGCAAAGTATGCCCGTGAGAAGAGAATTCCATATCTTGGGATATGCCTAGGGATGCAAATTGCTGTCATTGAGTTTGCACGTTCCATCCTTGGACTACAGAATGCAAATAGCACCGAATTTGATTCAAACACTAAGAGCCCTTGTGTTATTTTGATGCCAGAGGTGGTCATATTTTATTGATATATCAAATTTTAATAAATTTTATTACCTGGTTTAATGTTGGTATGCAACTACCAGGGTTCAAAAACCCAAATGGGAGGTACTATGCGTCTTGGATCAAGGAGGACCTACTTGCATGGAACCTCAAGTAAATCGGCTAAACTGTGAGTCTTCTTGTCTTTACTTTCCAGTCATAAAGGGTAACTGTAAAGGTTCTGAAATTCCTGGAGTCCATATGTGCACAATATCTTAAAAATTATGGAAAATTATTTATTCTTTCAATGGAGAAATTACAAAGCCAATTACAGAGATTCCTTTATTTGGGTTTGACATGTAAAACACATTGTGAATTCTATTAGCAACATTCACTCAAGTGCTGTTTAAGGATCTTTTCAATTGCTACATGATTATCTTAAGACTGTAAATTAGCATCAGAACCTTTTCTGAACTCTAGTAGCATAGCAGGATGTATATCCTCATCACTAAAGGTTCAAGAAACATTGTATGTGATTGACAAATCATTTCATTTTCTAAACTAATGAAGTTATGTGGAATGTAAACTAATCAGTGTAACACTATAATTGTGGAGTCGAAGAAAGCTACTAGAATTACTGCAGAGTGAAGTGTATCCACACATACAAAGGATGTTCATTACAAATAACTATTTTGGTACAAGAGGATACCACAGAGCTCAAATAAATCTTAAACACTTCTTTAGCAAGAAAAAGATATTTGTATGTGTGTGTGTTGGGGGGGGGGGGGGGGGGGGAAGAGAACTCACAATGCACACATGAATCTTACCAGAAGTCAAGAAGAAATGATATTGCATTTCTTAATTGGTACTGACTGAAGTTTTTGCAGAATGATGTGATTTTATGTACAGTAGCCTAAAATACTGAAGTGAATATCACCCGCCTCATTTTGAATTTAGCGCTCATGAGCTCATGTGATTTTGACAAAATTCTTGTACAAATGTAGTTTCAGGCCTCTACATGACTAACTTAATTGAACGATCAGGTCTTAGTTTCTGGTACCCATTCAACAACATTTTTACACTCTTGATTTGGTTTATGTGCGTATTTGTTGGTATCAGGAAAATAATTTCTTGGTTTCCTTGTCCACACTAAGTAATTTGCAAGAAAGAATGCAGTTGGTATCTGGACACTCAGGCCATCATTATCTAAAAGCTCAAATCCTTTTTTTTGGGTGACAGATATGATCATCGGAGTTTTATTGATGAGAGACATCGACATAGATACGAGGTGTACAAAACCCCTCGTTACAATAACTCATGTCCTTGAAATCTGTGTCTTCCTGATGTATTTGAAAGTTTTATATTGAACTTGTTTTTGCTTGATCTTACCTAGGTAAATCCTGATATGGTTCCACAACTTGAAGATGCAGGACTCTCTTTTCCTGGAAAAGATGAAAGTGGTCACCGAATGGAGGTAGTTCTTTATTGTTATATTATGTTGTCTTTCCAAGTCTGATGTTCTTTTTGAATTTTATTGCTTTATAGTAATTATCAACTTGCTCTTACAGATCGTGGAACTGCCTAATCACCCATATTTTGTTGGCGTTCAATTTCACCCAGAGTTCAAATCAAGACCAGGGAAACCTTCTGCTCTTTTTTTGGGTACATCATATCTCTTCTTCTGAAGTTCCATCTACACTTCTGTTACTCCGTTTTGTTCATAGTGCTCTCTTGTAATTCCACAAAAGCAATCTAAATTTCTTCATGCGTTCTCTAGATACACGGTCTTATTCATATGCATTCTTGAACAGGGCTTGTGGCAGCAGCCTGTGGCCAGTTGGATGCGCTGTTGAAGAAAGGTTCAACAAAGGCACGCAAAACGAGCAGTGCTTCCTCAACAACAAAGTCGCAATTGTATGAAAAGGCGACGAAGTTAGTCAGTAGCGTTTACTGTAATGGGAATGGCTTGCATGTTTGAGTGATTAAAAGAATTGACCTGTGACATCATATCATCATTCTGTTTTGGGTGAATCCCCATTTAGTTTCAGGCGTTTCTGTTTGAAGAACATGCTAATTTTGTAGGTTTTACAGTTAGCCTTGAAGATTTGTCCGTGGAGTGCAGCTGGATTCCGGCCTTTTAATAGGACATATTGATTGTAGTTGCTGCAGCACAGCGCTGCCTAATAGATCGTCGTGGTTATTAAGATTTTGTTAAGAGGATATTTTCATCTAAAGGCGTACTTTAGCATCTTCAATTCATCGATACAGCATTTCATATATTTCAGGTTAGTGTAACGTATGATTGGAATCAACACAGGATTAGAGTTTAGTCAAATATTATAACTTGAAAGATGATCGTGTTTTTTTCTCTTAATCAAATTTTACCAAATCTTTTTATTCTTTTTTTTTTTTTTCAAAAAATATCAAATTAATATTTATTTTTTAATTTTAATATCATACGAAAAATTAATATGCATTCAAAATATTATATTAGTAACTATATATATTCTTTCGTCCCATATATCTATCCGTTTGCTTTTTACACGAAATTTTTAGGATGTAATATAAATAAAGGTAAAAAAATAAAGATAAAAAGATTAAATGTAATGATACGTGTAATATAAATACTTTGTTACGATGCAGATCAAAATGTAAAAATGGATGGAAGGAGTATTACATTATACATCTATGTAGAAATATTTTAGATATTCGGTTTTAGATTTATATTTACATTTGGTCTTATCATTACTTAGATTTCAGTTGAGTCCATTTTTTATTGTCTATATATAGGCCTCTTTCTTTTCATGATCAAAAACAATCTTATTATTTTCCCGAAATTTTTAACGTGATATTAGAGCCAATTTTTCTCATATTGTAGATATAATCTATCAACCCACGTTTTTTCGAGTATATTCAACTTGGATTGTACCCGAAGTTCTTGTGATTTTGAAATCCTGCATGTGTAAATTTGTCTCTGAAATTTGTGTCTGTTTGCTAGCTCGTCTTTCCAAAATAGAAACCTTAGCCGCCGCCGCCACTGTTCGTCGCCACCCGCTACTCGCATATCGACACCGCCACCCGTTGCTCGCCGGTCGAAACTGCTGCCGCTGTTGTAAACTCCTCGTCGTCGCCGGTCAGCCACTGAAAATTTGTTGCCAACCTCCGCACGTGGAGCCGCCACTCAAATCGCGGCGGAAGAGCTTTTTCGTCGCCGCTCTTCCAGCCTCGTGTGCGGACGCTTGGGGCTACCTCCGGCCGTCGTTTTCCGGCGGCCGCCTCCTGGTTTAATTTCCTGCGCTGTCATGTGGTCGGTTTTGTGATGGAAGTTGATTTTGTTTTTGCGAATCGTACCGGTTGTGTTATTCGATTTGTTTTGCGATCTCTCTGATCTGTCTGGTGTCTATGATGTGATATTTTCTATTTTTGCGATGTGATCTGTCTGATGTTTGCGATCTATTATGCAATATGTCTGATGTCTACGATCTATTCTACAATCTGTTCGATGCTTGCGATCTGTTTTCTGTTTGTGATTTGTCCAATATCTGCAATGTAATCTGTTTGCGTTTGACTCTGATTTCATTAGATTCTTGTCTGCGATCAACTCCGACTCAAAGCATGTGCGATTTGCCATTTCTCCCTCCATTACTTGTCTATTGTTTGAAATTTGTCTATGATTTGCCATATGACCGCTACTTGTCTGCGTACCATTTGTATGGTGTTTGCGATTTATTTGTTTCGGCTCCGATAGAGAGTCATGTCGTTATCAGTTCCATTATAACCGTTATTTTTATTTGCGTTTTTTGCGTCTATATTATTTTTTTTTTATCAAACATTGAAATATTTTATATATTCAATTTTAAATTTGATTTTATTCTATTACATTATTTAGATTTGATTTTATAAGTTCGTTTTGTATTACCGATAAAAAAGATAATCTCATTATTTTTCATCAAAATTTTAAACAATTATTTAAATTTAAAATTTTTATAATTCAAATTCTAAATTCAATATTCAAATCCCCACACAAATATACTAGTTTTGTAGTTTTGTAGTTTTGTAGGCTTTATAGTTAGGTATGATGATTCACCTGGAGTGGAATTGAACTTTGGCTTTTGTTCTTTTTAATTTTCTTTCAATATATATTTTTTTTTTAAAAAAATGTAATTTTCATTATTTTTATATTTTTTATATTTCATAAGAATTTCTTTTTTAACTATCTCACAAAACAAATACACCATTTGACATTTAATTATTATTGTTATTATTTTTGTCTCATTTACCATGTTCACATTTCTATTTGTATTTGTTCAATTTATTCTGTTACTTTTATTTTTTTATTTTTAAAATTATATACTTTAATTTCATTTTAAATATTTTAATTTATAATTTTTTAAATTTTAATTATAATTAAATTAATTATTTATTTTAATTTTAATCTTAAATTATTTTTATTATATAATAATTATTTTTATTTAAATATTTTATTTATTTACTAATTATACTTCTTATCCTGTTAGTAAATGAAACATAGCCGGAATAAATTGAGTACTTCTTATCCCCTTGTAAATGAAACATGTAACCAGAATAAATTAAGTAATTTTTTTCTATGATACGAGAATTTGCAGGCATTTACTATAAAATATTATCCAATTTAATTTATTTGTATTCAACTTGAATTTGATTAATTCTAAATTTGAATTGATTATAAATTAAAAATAAAACATATGAATTTAAAATTAAATTTGATCAAATATATTTTTAAAAAATCAAAATAAAAAATTCAAAATTCTTAAATTTCGATGCCGACCCTTAGCATTCAAGTAATTCAAGACTTATTAGTTGGGCAAAATATGTAAATTAAAGCTGGGCCAACACCTTCAGGTTGGGCCGTACCTTCCCAAAGACACGCACCGCCCTAGTCGAAAGTTGAAGCACACTCGGAGCTCGGAGCGGGGACCATTGCTCAGCTCTCCCTTCAATTTCTATCGCCACCCACCGGTTGGTTCATTGAAATTGAAAGGAAGGGCCTCTGGCAATCCCGGTCCATCCCAACTGCTCCGAGAACCGCCTGATTGGAAGTTGCAACGCTGTGTTCCGGCGCTATTGGGATGCATGAAGTATTAAAGTAGAGAAATTTTCTCCAGGGTAGTTGCTGCTATCGAGCGCTGTGAGTTGAAGGACCTTGCCTGAAGACTACTCTCACTGTGAAGCCTTCCTGTTTTCTCATAATCCACCCATGCCTTTGTTTCGAGCGCGTAGTTTTGTAAAATACTACATCCCAGTTAGATTGCGCACAGTTTCGTCATTTGCTTCAGCGAGTAATTCAATAGTAAACCAAACATCTATGCCCAAAAAAGTTCTTATAGAAGAGAAGACATCCGATGAAATCCTGAATCGTATTCTTTTTCCGGACGTGGGCCCGAATGTTTCTAGAGAAGAAGTCTGCGTAGATTATGTACGGCAACTTTGTGCCGCAGGAGGTCTTCAGGTTGCTGCCAGGCTGCTGCGAAGTTTAAATGGTAAGAACATCTTCTTTGGCCCTAGTCCTTATAATTGCATTTTGGAAGCTGCTGATATTAAGAACGATTTCGATATGCTCGCTCAAGTCTTCAAGGATCTTCTAGTTTCTTGTACGTCCATAGGATTGACTTCATACATTATAGTTGGGAGAGCTTTTGGAAAACCCAGAAATCCTGCAATGTTATTGAATTTTATCAAAGACATTTGTGGATTGGGATTACCAAGAATTGACGTAGTTTTGAACAGGATTATCTTTGGGCTGGCCAAATGTGGTCATGTTGACAGTGCCTTGTTGGTATTTGATCACCTCAAGAGTTCAAAAAGCAAACCGAACTTGGTTACTTATAACACTATTTTGGCAATTTTGGGCCGCTGTGGTCGATTGGAAGACATGCTACATGAATTTGCTTCAATGACAGCAATTGATCTTATTCCTGATGTTGTAACATACAATACTATATTAAACAGCTTGAGGAAGATGGGTAGGTTCGATTTGTGTTTGGTGTACTACAAGGAGATGAGTGACAGAGGAATTCAGCCAGATCTGTTGACCTTCAAAGCCTTGATCGAGAGCTTAGGGAGATCAGGAAACATTGAAGATGCCTTGAAAGCTTTTTATGACATGAAAGTTAAACGAATCTTTCCTTCAATATATATTTATCGTGCACTGGTTTTCAGCTTAGAGAGGGTGGGTAAGGCGGGTTTGGCTTTGAAGTTCTCTACTGAGATGAACAGGCTTTTTCCCGAGATAGTTGTTCCTAGAAGTTTCCATTATGAAAACAGATAATTTGCCTGCAGCTTTAATTTAAGGGTTGTGTGGATAAACTCTGCGTTTACATATAGTTGGCTTAGCCGCTGAAGCCTTAATCGGTGACATTTCTTTACCATGGTGTCTCAGACTCTCTGGTGAAATTTAATTTAGGTGCTATTCATCAGCCCCCAAGAACTATTTGGTAGACTAAATTAGCATTATCAATATGCTTGTTTACGTGGAGAGTTGGCTGAAATATGTGGAGAAGAGAGAACTTAAAACTTTGTATAGGTGGGTTCGAGAGATGTTTGATGGTTTGAAAATATTAAAAATCTGAATTAAAATAAGTATTTGGTATAATTGTTTTTAATGATCTTGGAACTTCCGTTTGCGGATATAAATTAATGACGATATTTTTCTAACAGTTCGAGCTTTTAAGTGAGACGGTCATTTTACGCAGCAAATTGTATGTCCACCTTATTTGATGTAATAGTGGTTTGCACTAAATCAACGCTTATGTGAACTTGATATATATCACCAAATTTAGTTAAAGAAAACTCTTGTGTCGGTTTGATATATATTGTCTTCGTCGTTCAATTGTTTGTGATATCAAAACGGAATAATTTACCAATATATTTATTACAATTTTTGCACCGATAAAATTGTAAAACTCACTTCACAATAATTCATCAAATCTCAATTTCATCATCTCTAGTTACCGAGAAAAAAAAAAAAGTGTTTTAAAACAAGATCCAAAGGATAGTAGGAGCCAATGCCTCCACTTTTTATTTTATTTTATTTTCCTATGTGGGATATTGGGAAGTTACGCAACAAATCTTCCATCTTCCCATAGTCTCACATATTTCGACCATATTAGAAAATCGATTTTTCGTATTATTGCTGCTCTTCACATTTGCTCACAAGGCGCATCTATCTCTCCTCTGCACACTCAAGCTATCACCCTTGTACATTTTGCATAGTGAAGCCAACTCGTCCAATAAAATAACATTATCTCCAACAGTGTTTTGATATTACCATTGCGGAGCTTCAAGCAAACTCTTCCAATGTCTTTAATTCGATGCTTCATCTTATTCTCCACATTGATGTAGCCAAAATCTCCATTTGTATGCAAAATATTAAATAAAGTTTGATCTTTACATATATGGACATCGGCAGCAAATTATCACTCAATTAGAATTCTCAACATGATTTGTATTTAAAAGAAACAAATCACTTTCATAACTGACCAAGTTTGCGGAGTTTTAACTTTCGACTTACCCTTCAAATTTTTCAAGACTTCCCATATTTTCTTTGAAAAGTTGATGGTGATTTTGAATGTGACCAAACTCTCCATATTAATGACATTCAATAGAGCTGTAATCTCTCGGCCGAAATTTCGATCTTCCACTACGGCCACTCTTTATTTTCTTATTATTTTGTCATTCTCCTTCAAAACTGTTATTGTCACATGCAAATTTAATGTAGTTTTTCCAACTAATATTGACTGCACCAACGACTTGTAGGTTTGGACAATGAAGCTAACAATAGCAACGCTTGTTCTTCCTATTTAATTTCTTCTCTTGCATTCAACAGTCGACATACTAGTTCATTAAATTTGTTAGTATAGTCAATTATATTACCTCATTCCTCCATCTTCAAATAGTACAGATACATCTTCATAATCAGACGGTTAGTCAACGTTTTCGTGATAAATTTACTTTCCAAAGTATCCCACAACCTCTTCAGCAATATTTCCGTCAATACGGTAACTTTTATTTGGAGAGTGAGTGCCAATCGAATTGTATTAACAGTCCCTTTTTTTTTTTTTTTTTTTTTTTTTTTTTTCTTTCAGATCAAACTCCAATACCTTCTGGCTTTACATTTTCTAAGGCAACATCACGACTTTATTGCACTAAAGAGTCTTGAATTGTGCTTTGCCACATAGTAAAATCACGCTTTCCATCGAAGAACGGAATCTCATATTTTAAAGTAGTGGATATAATGCTTAATAACTCTTCAATAAATAAGTATTTCCAACAACAACAAAAAAAAAAGGTTAAAAAATAAAACCAAAAACTTAGATCAAGTAGAACCGACTTTTCTGGCAGAAATAAAGTGAATTGCCGAAACTCGCTGCGGAGCTGCAACTGAACTGCTGACGTGTGACGTCAACTTCTCTCGAAACATCTATTACTTCTTTTCTCCTCCCTTCACCAAGACTTCGGTTTGATACCACTTGTTGGGAACACACAAAGGAAAAGAAAAAAAAAATAACAAGACACAAAAATTTAACGTAGTTCAGTCACACAACTCACCAAATTTCAGTTTCAATATCTCTAATTATTAAAGAAAAAAAAAAAAAACATATTATCGTATTTTAAAATAAGACCCAAAAGGATCTATTTATAGGAGCCTATCCCCCTATTTTTTTTTAATCTATTTTTCCACGTGAGATATTGAAAAGTTACACAGAACATGATATTTTCCAGACCGTTGGGTGCCTTGAACCATTTATAATCACCTTTGAATGGACGGACTTCCTTACATTCAAATTTTTATTGACAAACCAAATAAAAAAAAATAATAATAATGATTTAATTTGAGAAGTCAAATATGCAAAGGTGTGTTAGACTTGGTGCAGGCAAGCCATGAAATAAAAAAACAGCTATTGTATATTTTTCTACATAAAAAATGGGAGGCTTTGGCTTTTTTAGGTCAAAAATCACTGCACATACTATTATGCAATCTGACCACCAAGAACCCACCCTAGCCACACGTCACATAATCGGAAGGATAAGCACCGTGAGAACCAATATCGGAACACACTATATTATAGTCGTAGGTAATAGTAATAACAAAGTTAATATGCCCAGGAAAAGTTCCTGTACGCATGCGGCAAGCACATTGAAAACAACAATGGGTTGCTCCAGAACACAGATTCAACATGCACATATGATATACCTCAATCGACGCTTGCTATTGGAAACCACTCTATTCTTAATCTTGCTAGTAGTATCTCTTCATGATCCAAGCAGCACGCCCTTATTTCAGATACGACTAGAATCTCTCCCAAAGGTAAATCTTCTGAACCAGTCACCAATCACAAGAAATCTAGTGCGCCAGCTAACTTGCTTGCTGCGGGAATGCATAACCAGACTGATGAGCAATGGATTGCATGAATATATATGTTATGCACAGATGCACATTAAGTAATTAGCCAGAAACCTTGCGTATACAGAATACCAAAGCCACTGTGTACTGTGTCCAATGGAAACCCAGTCTCCAGGCAGCTCTGCGGCTGCTTGCTCTCCACCAAGGGGTGCAAATTGCCCGAGATGACGATACCTGTTGTTTGAAGAACTTTTCATGTGAGTCAGAAAGAAAGATAATATTCCATAGGGGTTTTCTAAGACTTGAGGCTCATACTGGAAAGGGCGAAATTCGTGCCGACCGCCACTTCTGAACTTGCGAGGACCCTCAGGATTGGATTTACATTTCTCCCACGTGTTGAAGCATTTAGCAAGGTATGCACCTTGTTGGGAAGCAACCTACAAGCATATGTGTATGTACCGGGTGCACAGCCATCACCCCCAGTAAGCAATAAAAAATTCATGCCTTCACAAAGCCATTGGCATCTAGGAATCTAACTGAAAATAGCTTACTTGTGCAGTTGCTGGAAGGTTTTTTGTCTGTTTGTCCACTTGAGACAGCGCTAACTTAAAACTTTCAACATCTATCTCTGTTTTATCACTTCCATTCATATCTTTCATTAGGTCGGTCACATCAAACAGATGCTTGTTCTTCAGATATAACTCCACCTGGGGATATCGTATCATGATATCTTCAATAACATCTTTGAATTCTTCTATAGTTAGAGTACCAGAACTGTCTTTATCTGCAGCTTTAAATATGACTGAGATATCTTCCTGAAATGTATTATTTAATATACAATATGAATACTAAAATAATGTACCAAAGTAAGCATATCCTATAGATGACAACAACTACTATGCGAATCTATTTCACATTTGCAATTAGATTGTGTATTCTATATGTCTGAGATATAATTCTGCATAAAAATGTTGAGACCAGAAAGGCATCCACATACACTTTTTCATACCTTTTGAGCGAGTGAACTTTCCTCACAAAACACCATCCACTGTTTTCTATAAAATACTATTCTTCAATTGTGTTACTTGAGTTTTAAGTGTTAAAGTAAATCAATACCATAACTACTTGTGTTTTGGTGGAGGCAATAACTTCAAGAACTGGATGATGAGACATGTTTTAAACTCAAGTAATTGAGTTCCAAAGAAGCTTGAACTAAGTGGAGCCTTGAGCTAGCTCACAAGGCTCAGTTCCTACTCCTATTAGGTAGGCAGAACAGAGAACTTTCTCAATTAAGATTAAGATGTCATCATGAATTTCAAGGTCATGCGTGATACCCATTCCACTTTCTTCATTGTGATCAAACATACCATTATCTTTCTTTGATCTACAGTTGCACAATCACCAAGAGCATATACATCCTCACACCCTTTTACCCGTAACCACTCATCAGTTGCCAGAACCCTCCTGTTGCCCTGCAAACAGAAACAATGGACATCACATCCAAGCAGAAACAGTGAAGCATAACCAGTAATTAGCTGTTGTAAGAACGGATACCACATCCAAGTGCTAAGCAGAAACATAAGTAGAGAATGTAAAGCAATGCAAGAGAGCAAGGAGCCATAGAGAGATCCAGTCAAGAAATAAGCTGTAGTACAATCCATACCTGGCCAATTTGTTCCATGAAATCCTTCACCACTGGCCTAGTGCCAACCCCAGTTGACCAGACTACCATTCCATGAGGTATAGAGATGTTCTCTCCTGTGGAGACTTGTTTCATGTTAATTATTCTCTCTGAAACACTCAAGACACGGTGTCCTGTCAAAACTTCAATACCGTCTCTCCGAAATTTAAGTTCAGCAAATGAGCTTATCCTTTCATCAAACCTACAAAAAGACTCAAGATCTAAATTGCAATAGCCATGTCAAAAACCTGAAATATAGACTATTGCGCAACCTAATGAGCATATATTTTAATTCATGCAAAGGAGATCTAGCTAAAAATCTGGAAAAACTAAGATGTAATTAGGTAATTATTTTGTAAGTTTGAGATAACAGCACTGAAATCTCTAGTTTGTCGTCAACTCATACATTGGATGTCTCAAATATAGCCTAGACTACCCTAATGAAACTAATAGGTCTGACTGTTGCAAGCTATGACAGTTTACTGATAGATAAAGATAATTCCTGGAGAAAAAAACTATGAGAGTAGTATCTCCATGACTTAAAATGACACAGCTCATGGGATACATATAGAGAAAGAACTTCTTAAAATTAGCAATATGTAAAAAAACATATATGATTAAAACAAGGAAAATAGCATGGAAACATATTGCTCTTGGATCATGCAGAATATAATCTAGTGACTGCAACATCCACTTCACAATTAAAAAATTTGAAATGATTTAAGGGCTGACCGGCTGATTAGAAAAGTTACCACACTAGACTTGTACAGTCTGTAAAAGAGGAAAATACTTGTTCACTGCTCACATGTTCAAGATATGGTCACCAGATTGTATGATTGATATGCGCACTAGATCTTTGACTGAGGGATATATAGAAAGCAAATCTTCATGAATAAAATCATGAAGTTCTGCAGCAAATTCAACACCAGTTGGACCCCCCCCTACTATAACAAAATGGAGGTTAGTCATTTGATCTTCCTTGTTTAGCTCTGGAAGGACAGCTTTCTCAAAGCAGTCTATTACTGTCCGCCGAATCCTTTGGGCATCTTCCACTTCCTGCACGAAGTATTATCGATTGTAATTAAGGATGATTACAAATATGCCAGATAATTATTATTACAAGTCATTACTAAGTTGATGGTTACCTTCAGAAAATGGCAATGCTCGTAGACACCAGGGGTATTAAATGTGTTTACTTGCGCACCAATGGCAACAACTAAATAATCATACTCTAATGAGAAGTCGTTATTCCCAGCTAAATTCGCATCAACACTGGACTGGCAATAAACCTTCTTGTTGGCAGTATCTATCTTAAGGCATTCTGCTTCCCAAAACTTAATTTCGCCTTTCCTCTGTAATCATATTTAAATATTGCAACTTTCTTAAGGAATGTTCCTCAAGTATAATAAACCTTGTACTAAACAACATGGATCCTGCTAACTAAATCACCAAAGTTTAAAACATTTCATCTATGAAGTACCGGGAAGATACATGGAACATCTTCAAAATACATGCATTCAAAAAATTAAATAAGTGGGGAGAATAGTTATCAGGAGTACCATGGGCAATCAAATAGAACAGGACATTAGACATAAAATACAGTAAATTGCTTCAAAAGTAACCTACCTTTTTTATAATGTTCCTAACAGGCTCCACAATGCTTCTTGCCTCAACTGTTCCACATGTGACACTTGGCAACAATGGGGTAAATGCAAAGTAATTCCTGGGGGAGACCACCTGAACATCATAAGATGAGATATCCAAATCTTTTAGGAAGCTCGTACCAGCCCATCCTGTTCCTAGAACCAACACTCTTTTCTTAGCCATTGCCTTTTGATTCTGTTGCAAACTTGTTATTTCCCCTGACTGAGAATCTGCATATGCAATGACGCCCCCACAGCTGCAAGCAGCAATCAAGTAAGGCACAACTCTGTTATATTTCCCAATATCTAGAGGAAAGGAGACAACATAATCCACAATAGACTTTCTATGTTATTGTCATCCTTTATACTATTGACACAGAAACAGAGGAACAGGTTATTGCAGTCAAAGGAAGCCACTGGTAGATGAAAATCGTACACCGTTCCTTTATCATATATATTATCACCGATACAGTCTAAAAATGATGGAGGATGATGATGATGATGATGATAACGCTGCTGTTGTTGGACTTGAACAAAATAGTCAATATTTTGGGCTTTTCTATGTAATTATATCATATTACTTCACTAGGGCCCATTACTTTGTTATAGCACATCTAATATCATATATATACATAGTTAGAAAACTATAAAATCAATTCAGTTCAGTTGTATTATGAAATTCTAAAAGCCTAACCGTATTCCTCTGGTTCTTCTTTCTCCTTCAAGAAATTCTACAACTTCCTCATGGTATAAGAGTGGTAAATTCGATCAAGGCTTTGGTTTCTTACTTTTGCAGTATTTTCTGCTAATAGATCTCCTCTATCTGTTGTTGCTGCAATTTCTCTTCTGTCATTTACCGATTTCTGATGGCAAACATGTCTTCATCTTCTGATTCGACGACAAATCCATTGTCATAAAATATGGTTACTCTTCCAAGAGCCTTAATGTTGTGTTCCGGAGATAATCCAGCACAAGGACCTTAACAGACCTTAACCATCAGCATGTTAACAGACCTTAACCATCTTAAACTTGTATTTCAGCATGTTACTCCAATACAATCTTCTCTCCGTCAGCATATTAACAGACCTGACATTTGAAAAAGTTGTTGCTGTGGGACAAAGAGTCGGCAACTTGTACACTTTGAATCTCACTCCTGGTCAACTTCCACCTCTCCCTCCCAAATGATAAATGTTGCTTCCACCTCTCCATCACCATCAGAGTTGTGGCACATTAGACTTGGACACCCTTCTCAACAGGCATTAAAGCACATCAACATACAACCCAAGATATCTTCATCTGATATTCCCTGTGACATTTGCTATAAAGCTAAACAACATCGCAAACCTTTTCATAACAGCACTTCATCCACCTCTTCTTGCTTTGAATTGGTACATGGTGACTTGTGGGGTCCTTTCAAAACCCCAACTCTTACTGGTTGCTTTTATTTCCTTACTTTAGTTGATGATCTCTCTTGAGCTGTATAGATTTTCTTACTTCCTAATAAACAAAATATCTCTTATGTTCTTACAGGTTTTTTCTCTCAAATATCTACTCAGAGTCTCTGTCAAAAAATTCAGAACTGACAATGAGGGAATTTATTGGTACAACTTGTCAAGCTCATTTTCATAAACTTGGCATTATCCATCAACACTCATGTCCTTATAGTCCCCAACAACCTGGCCGTGTAGAAATCAAGCACAAACACCTATTACAAATCACAAGAGCACTTCGTTTTCAAGCTAACTTACCTAACTGTTTTTGGGGAGAAGCCTTGCTTTATTCTTCTTGTTTACTCAATAGATTACCCTCCAAAACCTTAGGATGGATCTCACAGAAACTTCACAATAAATCACCTGATCTTAAATTTTTCAAATCTTTTGGCTGCCTAGCATATGCTGTGAATCTATCACCCCACAAGAATAAACTCAGTCCTAGATCAGCTAAATGCATATTTCTTGTCCTACAACGTACAATCTGGATACTGATAAAATATTCATCTATAGAGATGTACTCTTTCATGAAAATATATTCCCATTCTCTGATCTCCCATCCGCTCCAAAGTCACCAGTAGCTTCCAATCCTCCTCTCATTTCTTACTCCAATCCACCTCATATCCCTTTACTTCAGCAACCTCTCTCCATGACCCCTTCAAGTTCCTTGTCTCCTTCAGCTACTTATCCTGAGGTGTCCACCCCTATTGTGCCTACTTCTCCCACCTTCCCTTCTCCTTCCCAATCTCATATATCCCCTATTTCTTCAGAACCCCATAATAGGCCTGTAAGACAAACAAGAAAACCAGCATGGCTGAATGATTTTCACAGTTCATCCCTTACCTCCTACTCCTTTGTACTTGTGGCATGGTTTTTTCTCTGTTGATCTGCAGGTACCCTCAACATATTCTCAAGCTAGTAAGGAAGAACACTGGAGGAAAGCAATGGATGATGACTTACAGACCCTCTATGCCAATCAAACTTGGGAGTTTGCACCCTTACCTGAAGGTGTCAAACCAATATCGTACAAGTGGATTTATCGAATAAAAACCAATGCTGATGGATCTTTTCAACGCTGCAAAGCCCGACTAGTAGCTAAAGGCTTTCTCCAAGTTCTGGGGAAATATTACACTGATTCCTTTGCTCCTATGGCAAAACCAGTAACTATGCAAATATTGCTCACCCTTGCTGCTGCTAAAAAATGGAGAATCCACCAACTTGATGTCAACAATGCATTCCTACATGGTTGGTTGGATGAAGATTGTATATGGTACCTCCCCATGGATGCCCAACACCCCCTGGTTTGGTTTGCAAGCTTTAACGTTCTCTTTATGGCCTAAAACAAGCCTCTCGTCAATGGTATAAGGAATTGTCGTCAAAATTGATCTCCTTTGGCTTCATCAGATCATCTCATGATCATTGCTTATTCACTCTCAGCTCCAATGCCCACTTCACTATTCTTCTGGTATATGTTGATAATATCCTCATTACCAGGGATCACCCCCCACAATAGATGAAATGACAGATTACCTTGACAAAGCTTATACTATTAAGAACCTTGGAACAACAGATCTCTTCTTAGGAATACAGGTCGAACACTCTTCTCATGGCTTAATTATCAAGACAAATTTCTTTTGGATATACTTACAGAATCTGGAATGCTTCACTCTAATCCTGCTCCCACACCTACTGCTTTGGGAAACAAGCTTCAAGCCAAAACTGGTACTCTTCTATCATCTTCTCAAGCCTCACAATTTTGAAGATTACTTGGTCGACTATTATATCTCAAAATTTATGGTTGAACCCACATCTCAACATTGGAATGCCATCCAACGTCTTCTCAAATATCTTAGAGGCAGCATTGGAGCTAAGCTATTCTTCCCCTCATCATCTACTTTAGCCCTATCTGTCTATTCGGAGGTTGATTGGGGTTGTTGTCTGGACACCCGAAAATCATTAACCGGGTTCTGCATTTACTTAGGTGATTGCTTAATCTCATGGAAATCAAAGAAGCAACCAACTGTATCTCGCTCCTCAACTTTCTGAACTTCTTCGGATCACATATCTGCTCTAGGATTTCCGCATCTCCGTTATCACTCCAATACCATTACATTGTGATAACCTTTCTACTATCCATTTGGCCCAAAATCCGGTTCACCATGAGCGATTGAAACATATTGACATTGATTGTCAGTTTGTTCGACAACATTTCACTCAAGGGCTTCTACACTTAGTTCACATTTCTACCACTGACCAAATTGCAGATGTTTTTACCAAAGCTCTTTGGCCCCTCTGTCTTTGCTCGATTTTTATCCAAGCTTAACTTGGTGACCACCAAGTTTGTGCTTGAGGGGGATGATGGAGCTGTTGCTGGACTTGAAGAAAATAGTTAATATTTTGGGCTTTTCTATGTAATTATATCATATTAGTTCATTAGGGTCCATTACTTGTGTTATAGCACATCTAATATCATATATATTCATAGTTAGAAAACTGTAAAATCAATTCAGTTCAGTTGTATTATGAAAGTCTAAAAGCCTAACTTTATTCCTCTGGTTCTTTCTCCTACAAGAAATTCTAGAACTTGTTAAAAAAACACAATGGCGCCTGGTAAAGCATCTTCTAAAATTGACATGCTCTGCACGTTTGATAATTGATTTATGTCATTTGATTACAATGATACCATTGTGAATTTAGGCTATTGATACAACAAATGCTCCTTTAGTCCTATAATGAACCTGATTGTTGCAAATCTTGTTTTATTATGAACGGATGTCACAAATTAATAATATTAATTAATGACATTACAGTTATGAGTTATGTTTGACCTCTGGTTCTATTATAGACAGGCGAGGGTTAGGTCTGGGTTTCTACTGATGAACCATCAAATTTAAATTCATGTTCAAGTACTTCTAAGCTTCTAAGGATTGGGTAATTAAAAAAAAAAAATTAAAATTTTGCATTATTTCCTAATGGCTCACCCCTATTGGCAGCGGATCACCACGATCTAAAACCCCGCGGAGGCGATGCCCCGTAACTCGTATTTCGCTCTATCAATCCCTCATTCCCTTGTACAGATTCTTACTACTTTTAAGTATTTTATAGACAACATATGCAGCGCGAGTATAAAGGTTATTATAATAATAATAATAATAATAATAATAATAATAATAACTCAATAAATACGCATATCTAAAAAAAAACAATATAAAGATTATTAGTAGTAGTAGCCGATGTAGTTTGAAGTTTTGAAATCAAACAAAGCAACAAGAATGATATAAAAGGGGAACAAACTGAACCTGACAGAGAAAACTGCCAAAAGCTTGGCTGGAGCAGGATAACCACTGAGAATCCTCTGGAAATCTGAGAAAAACCTCATATTTAGCTGAGTGGAAATTCCTCAGATTCTGGGGCCGAGAGACACAGCACCTTTCAGTTCAGCTTGCACCGTCGATGGGAAAGAAGACCCGATAAAAAATGATCCCCTTCTTCCTGCTTTTCAACCGCCAGTAAAAGATTTATATGCGTTCACTCATTCATGCCAAAATTGAGTGAGTAAAACGAAGTTCAGACTAGTTTGAATACTGAGATCTTGGATTATTTGTCCGATGGGGGCCTTGGAGGGGTTCGTCCGTCTTCACACGTGGATCTCACGGATTGCAGAAGTCAGCCAAGTTTTGGTTGACACTAGTCCGGGTGCATGCGCCCTAAATCCCTATCCCTATCCCTCTACAAAGTTAAATTTGATCGGTGTCATTTTAATTTTTTTACATTAATATTATGATTCAATTAAAAAATATTTTTGGTTCTTTATATAGTATTTATAATGTCTACTCAAAATTTTAAATATATATATATATTTGGGGTAAATTATATAATATTTCATTATATTTTAGTTAAAATGCATAAAATATTTCATATTTTATTTATTGTGTAAAATTCTCATTATCTATGATTATCTAGGCACGGATCAATCAACAAAAGTTTGTTATCATTTCAAAATACATCATTATAGAAATTTTTATTAATTTGATGTTTATTTTCAAATATTTTAATAAATTTAAGAATAATAAATTTTTTATAGAAATAGTAATAATTAAATAAATAACAAATTTTTACCTTTTAACATTTGGAATAAAATATGTAATATAATTAAAATAATATAATGTTAAAATAACAATTTAGTTTATTACGAAGAACATCAATTAAAAAAATATATAAAAATTATACATATATTTTGGATGTGTTTAGAACTTATTGATTATAATAAATAGTAAGTTGTTATATTTTTATTTCTAAATCAAAAATATTGTTTATGTAACATTAGTTTGTTTGATGTTTGTTTGAATAAAAATACTGATACTTTTTACATAAAAATAAAATACAATACATATCAATAAATTAAAAATCAATAAAAAAAAAAACTCAAATTTTTCTATAATAAAATGTAATATGAAAATAAAATTATTATTTATATACATAATAAGAATTTTTGCTTTTACAACTTAATCATAAAATCAATTCTCCAATAATATGATAATTTAATTACAATACTTTGATAACAAAATTAGAACTCCCCGATGAAAAAATATAATAAAAAGAATGTATAACTTAATATAAATTATAATCAATTACGAATAAAAATTTAAATTATTTATCTTTTTTTTTCTTCTTCTCGTTCTTTCCTTTTTACTCTGCATGCTACAACCAGTTGTGAAAGCAAATTACTATGAGAACAAAGTAAATACAAAATTACAAGCGTATCAGAATAATTCTAAAAAATTAAGAAAAAATATGAAAAAAAATAAGAAAAATTATTTAAAAAATAGAAAGAATATATACAAAAGAAAATTAAAAAAAAAACACATTTAAAAATTATTTTTCTCACTAACGCTCAATTAAAAATCCATTTAAAATCATATTTTAAAAAAATGGTCAAATCACCTCATTTATAAAAATTAAATATACTACTAAAATAGATATACAAATTAACACATAAATAAATATATTTAATTTTAATTTCATAAATAAATAAATAAAATTTTAGTAACAAAATTTAAATTAAAAAAATTAATTATATATCATAAAATAGTTAATTATAAAACTAATTTTTAAAAATAATAATAAATTGTATCTTTACGTAAAAAAAAAATTCAAATAAAAAATAAATAAATAGAATAAAAATATATTAAAATAATTCAATAAATAAGTAAAATTTTAGTAACAAAAATTATAAAAATATTATGTATAATAAAAATAGTAATTTTATTGATAAAAAGTTAAAAATGGTAAAATAAACACACATTTAAAACTAAAAAAAAAATTAAGTACACATAATATTCTTATTTCTTCCATTGCCATCTTCTACATATCATCTTTGACATCTGCTCCTCTTTATCGCTTCTTCTTCTTCATGTTAAAAAAAAAAAGTAGAAAAATATTAGTATTGTAAAACTATAAAAAAAATAAGTACACATAATATTCTTATTTCTTCCATTGCCATCTTCTGCATATCATCTTTTGTCTTTATCGCATCTTCTTTTTCATGCTAAAAACAAAAAGTATCAGTATTGTTAAACTATGAAAAAAGTAATACACATTTAAAATTAAAAGAAAAAAAAATTAAATACACATAATATTCTTATTTCTTCCATTGTCATCTTCTGCATATCATCTTTTGCATCTGCTCCTCTTTATCGCATCTTCTTCTTCACGCTAAAAAAACAAAGTAGAAAAGTATCAGTATTGTTAAACTATGAAAAAAATAACACACATTTAAAATTAAAAGAAAAAAAAATTTTGATAAAGGGTTTAGGGTTTGAGGTTTGGGGTTTGGGGTTCGGGGTTTTAGGGTTTGGGGTTTAGGGTTTAGGGTTTAGGGTTTAGGGTTAGGGTTTTTTTTTTTTTTTTTTTTCAAAAAAAACTATATAGCAGTGGCTGAACCCAAAGTGGACTGCCTACGTACCCGAACGGAATCAAGCCATACGTAGTTTTTAGTAGAGCTACATAGTCCAAGTAAACAAACATGCATGACAGGCCTAGGTAATCAAAGTATCTATCCTAAGGGAAAATGCCTAAGTCATCAACACCAACCAATACTAAGCCAATCAAGCCAAAGTATCAATGAGTAAGTAAAGTCATACCAAGACGAGGCCTACAACTGGAAACGGAAGCCCGGAAGTCCGTCGGCATCCGCTCGAAGGAGGCCTCTAGTCGCCCGAGGGAGATCCATCAGAAGAAGTATCCGCTCCGTCGGAAGGGAGACCGCCGTCGTTGCTAAAATATCCGCAACACGGTTCCCCTCCCGATAAATGTGCGAGATCCTCCAAGTCGTATCCCGTAAGCGCATGCGAAGAGTAAGAAGACACCTCTGAAGCGACCAATGACTCATCGAGGAGGAGATCAGAGAAATACATGCCGTCGAGTCTGTCTCGATCCATAACGGCACCAATCCCCGATCAATCGCAATCCCAACTCCCCTCTGAATCGCTGTCAGCTCTGCTAGAGTGTTCGTCGCGTGTGAAATCGGAACCTGATATGCGATGAGCACTGCTCCAGCCGAATCCCGTATAAGACCGGCCGCTCCAGCCGCACCGGGATTGCCAAGCGAAGCACCATCGGTGTTAAGCTTGAACCATCCCGGGGACGGTGCCTCCCAACGCACCATAATTGGAGGTCGAGGGACCGGAGGGGGATATCGAAATCCAAGCCCATCAGCAATATGGAAATCGCCCACCCAATGTCGACGCAGAAGGATCCTAGCCCGCCATAGGGTCTGCAAATGCGCATGAATCCGCCAGATGATCCTCTCGGAAGACACACGAAGCCCCCTGTGCTTCGCGTCATTCAGAGCTGTCCAAATGAACCAGAATACCAACAATGGAACATACGCCCCAATACTCTGAGAACGCGTCGAAGAGAGTCTCCATGATGACACCAACAAATGCGGGGTGTGTGTCTCCGGCAACGATATCCCAAATAATGCTGCGAAGTGCCCCCAAACTCTCATGGCAACTACCGAATCAATAAAGACATGTGAGATAGTCTCTATCTCCGCATGACAACAATGGCAGCGCGATACAATCGGAATCCCATAGTGCTGAAGGATCTCATCCATCGGTATACGCCGCCGAAACAATCTCCACAAAAAAACCGACATCGTCGGGGTCAGGATCCGCGACCATAGTAAACCTGAAAGCCAACTCTGTACCCCTGTGTCCCGACAAAGCTCCCAAGCTGAGGAGGTAGTAAATGTACCGGATGCCGAAGCCATCCAACTCATCCGATCCTCTGTCAACCTGTCGAAGGGGATCTCAATAACACGCTGTACTAAAGCCTCCGGAAGATAAGCACGTAGTCGCCCAATATCCCACGACCCCTCTGTCCACATATCCCGGACCAGTATCAACGGAGGCGGCCGGCTGTCTCTCCGGAAGGTCGAAAGGGGCTGCTCCCCGAACCATCTGTCCTCCTAAAAGAAACACTCCCCTCGACCTAGCATCCAGAATATCTGCAACTGGACCTCCTCCCTAACACGGCACAAGCGCTTCCACACCGGGCTGTCGTATATCCGACAAGGGGCTCTCCCCGTGAAGGAATTGCGAAAGTACTTGTGCCGCATCGCCTGCGCCCACAATGAAGAACCCTCCCGAAGCTTCCACCAAAGCTTCATAGAGAAGGCATGAACCAAATCCGATAATCGCCTAACTCCCAATCCACCCTCATCCTGCGGCCGTGCCGCATCTGCCCACGAAATCCAATGACGCTGGCGATGACCATGATACGAGCCCCAAAAGAAACGCGCGCAGATCTGCTCAACCTCATGAAGGACCGACTGCGGAGGATGCAGGACCTGAAGTAAGTATAGTGGTAGGGATAAGAGTGTGCTCCGGATAAGCTGTAATCGACCGCCATGTGATAATACAGCCCGATCCCAGCAGCTCAAATACCTCCGAAGCTTTCCCAGAAGCTCCTCATACAATATGCTCCTCTGATTCCCCACATAGAGGGCGCACCAAGGTAAGTAAGGGGTAGGTCAGCCACTCTGAAGCCCGTGACTGACTGAAGCTGCTCCCGAACCTCCCCCGGGCATCGTCGACTAAAAACAATCGAGCTCTTTTGAAAGTTGACCTTTTGGCCGGTGATCCTCGCATAATCGGCCAAAAAGGTCGTCAAAGAGCTCATCTTCTCTCCACAGGCACTCGCAAATATCAGCACATCATCGGCATATGCTAAGTGAGACAACCGAAACCCTCCTCTACACCGAAAGTAAAGCTCCGGATGTCCCTGGTAAAGACGCTCCAAACCCCTCGACAGCAGGTCCGCCGCAAGCACAAATAAAGTAGGCGACAACGGGTCTCCTTGCCGGACCCCCCTGAAGGATTTAAAATATCCCCCAAGGTCTCCGTTAATCAAAACGGAGTAGTAAGCATGCTCTACACAATGCATCACCAATGTAATAAACGCATCCGCAAAACCGAACCTCAACAAGGCGTGTCTCAAAAAACGCCAAGACACCCGATCATATGCCTTATTAAGGTCCAGTTTCAGAAGCACGTTGTGTGACGTGCTTCTAAGGTTCAAGTCATGAACCATCTCAGATGCCATCAGAATGTTATCCGCAATCGCATGCCCCTTCACAAATCCGCTCTGATGGTGTGAAAGGAGGCGCGGTAGTAA